ATGATAGAGGTCAAGGCACTTATGTGTTTATGTGTGCATTCATTTCATATTGAATTGTGCAATTTGGCTTCTCGGCCATCATGCATCGAGATACGTGATTAGTGGCCCGAGGGTCGAGAACCGCACTTCCTTGAGCTTATGAAATGATAGGGAGGGTGGTTGTGCACACATATCTTGCAAATACATTGCCATGTCCTTTCTTGCTCTCTGTTGCAGCAAATTGGAGAAGTGCAGCAACAAGTGGCCGGCAGACCAGAAAAACTAGCTGGCCGACCACTTTTTCTGGTCTTCTACAGCAATGGTAACTGGTCGGCCAGTGGCTGGCAACACCCCTAGGTGGTCGGCCATGCTCCTACAGATCCCCAAGGTGAGTTAGAAACTTTCTGGAGCTTTGTGCAAGGTTCTGAGAACAACTGCAAATAGAGGCAAGTTGGGGCATCGCATTGGATTTCCGAACGAGGCGACCGAGCATGCATGCACTCCTCATCTCGAGGACCTCTCTTTACTGCTTTCCTTAGCTGATTTATGCTTTGGTTCTGTACTTAAGTAGTTAATGCGTTTAGTTGCTTATTTGTGTTGTAATAACTAGGTAGTTAACTTGTTAGTTAATTAGCTTCATTTGTAATAATTAGCTTCATTTGTGCATCATTTGTAATAACTATGAATAGTTAATAACTAGGAATAGTTAATTAGCTTTGATTTGTAATAATTAGTTTAATTAGCTTAGATTAGCTAGTTAGCTTCTTATTCGGACCCTCCGTCGAGAGGGCCAATTTTTGTAATAAACGTGCGTTTGTGTGATGCATGTCTTCCAACCTCCATTTCTTTCTCTCTTTTACTTAACCGCTTACGATGGTTAGTTTTAGGACATATTTTGATTAGCATCCTTATGCTTCGCATGTGTGCATCATTCATCTATTTTGCATGCACCAGGCTCGGCGCATCATACAAACTGCATTGTATTTCAATTCCAATTTGAATACATGTGCCAAGTTGCATTTCATATGACATGATTAGAATAGCCGAGCCTATTTTAATTACATTCTCGCATGCGTTGCATTAGCCATCTTAACATAAACTAGGATCATACATAATTCTAACTAGTTCTCTATTTTGGCTCGGAGTACACTGTGAGTGTTTTCGCTTTAGCATACTGCATGAGATGTGTATGTTGCCATGTCATGAGGCTAACTACTTAGTTGATTGACTGCATGAATACCTGTGGGTGAAGGTTGGATTTCTTGAATTGGAACAATTCATCAAAATCTGCGTCTTAGCCTATTTGCGAGTAGCCAACTTCAAACCATTTTCAAACGAACATGAAATGTTTTGTTCCAACTTAGACGATCTAGTCTATACTTGTATGCTGTGCACATCACATAGTAATTTTAGGTTAATAACCAGAATAAGAACACATGTGTTTTCAAAAATAAAATATCATGCTTAGTAAAGACCGATCGTTTGATCGGGCGAGCGGGGGTGCTCATTGCATGACCTTCCCCTCTCGTACCCAAGTTCCCGAGCCGAGGCAACTTTGGTGATGGCGGACATGTGGCCTTAGGCACGAGTTAGGGTTTCCTAAATTTCCCCCAAAATAAAATATTTAGGTGGCGACACTGTATCTGGCAAAGCAGTCCATGTTTGACATTTCTTTATACAAATCAGGTTTCCAAAACGATTTGCCAAATTTGGACTCTTTGGTGATTTATCGGTCTCACATTGCACTTTGTGAGATTAGATTCAGAACCGTGACACGAGTCTGAACTTGTAGTAGCCTAGAACAAAACGGGTTCGCGTCCTCGCACGCGGAGCCGGGAGTTCTCTAAGGCGGTCAGAGTCGCCAGAAATTGTAGAAGTGTAACAACACTAAATGTACTGAAATTAGGCATAAGAGCACAACTCTTAAGAGTGCTCAAGGAATGACAAATATGGAAGTGTAACAACACTAAAATGTACTAAAATTAGGTATGAAATGATGCCAAATCATTCAAACAACACAAGTATGGCATGCTAGGGTCCTTAAAGCATAAAGCTACCAAAGAGGACTACACAAGAGGCATGCAATACATGGCACAAAGGCATGAGCCAATCATGGATAGAGCTCAAATAGGTCTAAACAAGGACCAAAACATGCTGAGATGAGGGTTCAAGAACATAGGCAAGATGGTATACATGCTAAGCCACAAACTAGGCAACAATGTATAACCCTTAGAGGCACTCAAAGGGTGAATGAAATGAGAACATAACAATGTTACATGCTCTAAAATCAAGTATTAAATGATGTCAAATCATCCAAATAGCTCAAAGATAGCATGCAAGAGGCATCAAAACACAAGGCTAGCAAGGCCAATTGCACTACAGCTATGCAATACATGAAGCATATGGCAAGGGCAACCCAAAACAGTCCTAGATCATGCCAAAATGAGTCTAAAACATGCATGGACGGAAGCTAAACAAGTTAGCATGAGAGGCATAAAGCATGATGCATACGAGGCCAAAACGGAGGATTACACTACGCCTACCAAGACCAAACATGAGATGACTTAACCAACAAAAATCAGAGTTATATCATGGCAAAATAATCCCAAAAACACACTGAAATGATAGCTCTCAAGCTTAGGCATGAAGGCACACACAATGACCCATGTTTAAGGCATAAAGGACCAACCCTTCAAAGCATGGAATAAGTAACAAATGCAAGTGTGTGGCCACACTACATGTACTGAAATCATATTTCAAATGATGCCAAATCATTCAAAGGGGCCAAGCAATGCATGCTAGTGGACTCAATACACAAAGCTAACAAGCTAGAATGCACTATAGCTATACAAAGCATGGCATGCATGACCAAAACAACACAAATCAGAGCTGGATCATGCTAAAACATGGACAAAATCTTCTTAGAGTTAAGCCAAAATCATGTTAGAATAACAGTCTAAAGCATGATACACATTAGGCTAATTCATAGAATTGCACTATAAGTGCATGGAGCATGCATGGGGCTATCAAACCAAACCTTAACAGAGGTATATGATGGCAAAACAACCCCAAGAACATGTTGAGATGGACTCAAAACAAGTTAGAATGACATGCTACTTCATGAAGCATACAAAGCTAGTTTATGAGGATTGTACTACAAGTGTATTATGCGTGCAAGGGATGACAAAACCAAGTCAAAACAGTGGTATACCATGCTGTAATAAGGCCTAAAATAGGCTGAGATGTAGCCAACACAAGCTTAACAAACATGCTCAAACATGAGGCAAATGAAGCAAGCATTCAAAAACACAAGAAGAGTGGGTGACCCTCTCCTGTTTGGGATCTCAAAACACCATTTCCACCACTGAAATTCCTCTGGAATTCAGTGGTGGAAAGGTCATGCAAAGGCTAAACAAGAGCCTAAAGGGATGGCTCAAAACAAGGCCTAAGAGGGGGGGGTAGACCACCCCCAACACAAAAGTGACCTTAAACAAACATCTTAAGCATACAAAATCAGAGCTTCTTGTAGTTTAAATTTAAGCCTAAATAAGCATGCACATAGGTCCAAAAGCTTAATCAAAAACAAGGTTTAAAAGACTAGTTGACTCACCCTTGAAGAACCACTTTGAAGCTACAACTCCAGCAACTTTTTCTGTCCAAAACCAGTCCAAAAACTTCAAAAACAACTTAAAGAAGCCTCAGCAACAAGAGTATGGTGTTTAAGTGTGTGTTTGTGTGTTAAAGTGTGATAAAAAGGCACTTTTAAAGCACAAATGTGAAGCAAAGAGCAAGATAGAGACAAATGTGTATCTATAACTCTCAAACACAAAATTCTGAACCTGGAGAAAGAGGGGGGAGGTTCTCTTATATAGAGAACCAAACCTTAAGCTTGTTGAGGAAGCCAAGGGCTCAAAGCCATCCCTCCATACACGTGTATGGAGGATGGTTTTTGTGCCCTCCAACTGTGACAGCTGGAGAGAAGATATCTCTAGGAAGCTGGTGAAAAGCTACCGACCACTTCAAGTGGTCGGCCAGCTACTTACACTAGTCGGCCGACCAGTAGAAGTGGTCGGGCATGGGCAAAAGTGGTCGGCCACGGGGGAGAGGTGGTTTGCAACATGAGACCAAGGTGGTGGTGTGGTGGCTAACCAGAAAAGGTGGCTCAAAGACCAAGAAAACCAGTTGGCCGACTAGAAAACTGGCTGGTAGGAAGAAAATTGGTCCCCAAGGGAAAGAACTGGTCTCCCACCCTTACACCACCTTCCAAACAAGAAAAACAAGGTTTGTACCAAAAACAAACCATAAAGGATGCAGGACGAGAGTCCAGGAGGTAAGGCGCGCAGCCGGAAGCCTCAAAAACTAGTCTACCGACACCAAAAGTGGTCTCCCAGACCAAAGTGGCCTTCTAGGCCAAGGCAACAAGGTGTGGTTCAAAAACCACGCCAAACGGAGAACGTTAAACGATCCCAAGACAAAGCGCGCGGCCGAAGGCTCCAAAAATCAAAAACTAGTCTCCAAGCAGAAAAAGTGGTCTACGACCACAAAAAGGTGGTCTACAAGACCTCTCCCTCCCTCCAGGGAAGAGAAAACAAGGTTCGGTCCACAAACTGAGCCAAAGCACAAAGAGTTTAGAGGTCCGGAGGCAAGGCACCCAGCCGAAAACTCCGAAAACTCGAACGAGCACAACATGCATAATCACCGAGCACTCAATTGATGACGTCTGAATTTTAAGGTCGGTCAAAAATGGGGTGTCTACAGAAACGAAATAAGAAACATGAATATTTTATTTTATGCATAAGAAAGTTTAGGAAATAAAGATATATTACCGACTCAAAGGTGATCCAATTCCTCTCATATCCCGAAGCACTACAAGTTAGACTAAGTATTCGAATAGCAAATTTTGTTAACTCTGGTGTTTTGCTCCCAAAACAAATCCACCAATCAGCTACATAATTTGAAAAATGCACAAATAATTTCAATCTCATATTTTAATTTTATAGAATGTAATTGGAAAATTATTTTCATATTAGTTTCTTACCGGGAAAGCGTATCACTCTGGAATCAATTGCAACACGACTTCTAAATTCCCCTTTTGCTTGATCATAATAGTCCAATTGGATATTAGCCTTGAGACGCTCATCATAACTCAACATTCTATCCATGCACTGATACAATCCTTGCCTCACCTCCTCAACATTGGAGAAGGAATCTCGATAGCGCAACTGAGGGTTTAGATAATAACCAGCAGCATGTAAAGGTCTATGAAGTTGTGGTGTCCACCTTGAATCTATCTTATTCCAAATTGGTCCGTACTTTCTAACATTTCCTCCACAACTGAAAGCAATCTTTTCTTTAGCCAAATCCATCAACTCATAAATGTAACCCATAGCAGCCCTCTCCTCTGAATCAACTTCTCGCAAAACACTAACCAAAGGTATTGTGCTTTTGATACAAAAAGCAACATTAGGCCAAAATTTTGGATCAAACAATGCAGTTGCACGAGCCTTTACCCCTTCAACCTTTCTTGCCTAACTACTAGAAGCCCACTTTTCTGAAGAAAACATAGCTTGGAGTGGTTGCTTTTGTTTGTAAAGACTTTGGACAGTAAGATAAGCAGTGGCAAACCGTGTTACTGCTGGACAGAGTAGTTCACTGTTCTTTGTAAATGATCTCATCATTGAAAGAACCCAACAATGTCCATATATAAACTTGACCACTTGCCTAGCTAACGAGAGAGTTTGGTCACAAACTTTCAATTTTCCAATGTCCTCCAACATTAAATCAATACAATGCACAGCACATGGAGTCCAATACAACTTTTTCCTTTTCTCCATAAGTCTCGACCCGACATTGACATAGTTTGAAGCATTATCAGTAATAACTTGAACAACATTATCTTCCCCAATTTCATCTACGACACTATCAAGATAATTAAACATCAACTCCCCATTTTTTATAGTATCAGATGCATCAATTGATTTTAAAAACCAAGTTCCAGTAGGGCTATTCACAAGAAAATTAATAAGAACTCTACTTTTCCCATCTGTCCAACCATCAAACATAATTGAGCATCCATATTGTTTCCATGCTTTCTTATGTTCCTCCATCATGACATTTATATCCTCTACTTCTGTTTTAAGAATCCAAGTCCTCAATTCATGCATAGGAGGGGGTTTGAAACCAGGTCCATAATTTGCAATTCCATCAACTACAACTATCCAATACGGATCATTTACTAAATTAAATGGAAGAGCTTTGCAATATATAAAACACCCAATCTTTCGACACACATCTTTTCTTTCTTCTTGTTTCTATTTGGAGTTTAGTGTAGATTGTCGTGCTTGAGAACTAGCAAATTTATCCATTGGACCCCTCGGTTTTGATGGTTGTGTCATACCACCAGTATCGCCTTCAATAGATTGAGAAGCACCACTCTCGCCTTTTGCTCCAGCACCCATCCCAATTTCATATAGCATCTCATTACGGGCACTTTTTTGCTCAAAGAAATTTTTTAATGCTTGTTGGCATTCCAACTTTACATCTTCAGGAACTTTTGAACACGGTTTAATGCCTTTATGTGTACCAGCTAGATGATTTTTAAATCGACTTACAGTACAACTACAAGTTTGATCACAAAATTTGCATCTAAAATATTTTTTCCCATCAATTTCTTTTACATACTTCCAGACAAAATCTTTTCTTTGGCCTTTGGGTTCAGTCATATTTTTTTTGTTATCCCCACCAACTTATCTACTACAAAAATAAGCAAATAAAAAAAATAAAAACAAAAAATATACTGGTTAGGTGGGATGAGATGGAAAAAAAATAAATAATAAAATAATAATAATAAATTAAAATTTATAAAATAATAATAATAATAATAAATTAAAGGAGAAAAAGCTCAATAATATTATTAAATAATAATATATTAGACTAATAATAAATTAATGAGAGAGGAGCTCAGTTATATAATATATTAGACAAGTACAGATATTTGTGTGCACTAAAACAGAGAAGAGAAGCATCAGCCCTTGATAAAAAAGATGCAACGAGAGCAAAGAGATAGAGACGATGCAGACAAAACGAGAGAGAGAGAGACGATGCAGACAGACAGAACGAGAGAGAGATGATGCACAGAGAGACGATGCAGACAAAACTGAACGAGAGAGAGACTCGACTCAACTCAAGAGAAAGAGAGAGAGAGAGAGAGAGAGAGAGAGAGAGAGAGAGAGAGAGAGAAACTTCGTACCTGGAAAACCCTAGTTCGTTGGAGAAGATTAGAAGACTGATTCGAACTTGTTGGGACTTTGATTTGAAGAATATGGACTTACAAGGTATTTATATCTTCTTCTTGAGCAATTTCTGTTTCAATCGAAGTCTTTTTTCTTTTTTGATTTTTGAAATCGAACTCCTCAAAAGGCTTGCGCCTCACTGTCGAAAGCATGAAAATCGTATAAAGCGTAACAGATGCTTACGCCTCTATGTTTGATACATACTGTACGGGAAAGAAATAAACATTCTCGTATAATCCTGTTGACCAAGTCTACTCTCCTCCGTACGTCGTCGCTTTATCACCTGAAAACACAAACGTGAGCTAGCCGGCGGGTGTGTGCCGGAAACCTCTCCGATGCCTAAGTCAATAAGCTTGACAAATAGACAAAGCTCTGTGTATTCAGAAAACAAAGTTGTGTGTTACCTCTCCAAAGTTGATGTTTGTGAGCTTTTATAGGTTTCGTGTGGCATAATCCTAGTAGGACTTCTACTCCTCCATGCAGAGTCCTCCTAGGATTCATACTCCTGAAAGATAATGTTTATCCTTCAACACCCCCTCACTGCTTAAACCAAGTGAGATGGTTTTTACCATGGCCGAACTCCAACATGACCGAAGTAATCATGGCTATGCTGAGCCGCAGAATAGGCCGAACTATCCTTAGTTCGGTTCTTCCTTTTACTCCTCCTTATCTCGGTTCTCTCATGTACAAACCATGGTATGTTTAGACCGAGCTACCAAGTAGCTAGGCTCTAACCGTTCTAACCACAATACGCCATGACCGGGCTAACTCTGAGACCGGCCTAACTCCAAGTCGCTTCCGGACCGGAGTAACTTTACATTTCTCTCGGGCCGGAGTAATTTTGTACCTCTCTTGGGCCGGAGTAACTTTACGGCCTTTTTACTCAGCCCGTCGTATTGTGGGCCATAATGACCATCTCCCAGCTCAGCCCAATTTTTACAAAAATTACCCTCTCAATTGCCCCTTAATTCCATCTGCACAGCATGACAAGGATTACCTGTCTATCAGCCAAGCTGAAGTTTTTAAGCCTTTCCAGCCGAGCTAAAAAACCCTTTAGCCTTTCCAGCCGAGCTAAAACTCTTAAGCCTTTCAGCCGAGCTAATTTTACACCGGGCTCTACTTGTCCGGTCAAAACGTCTCTTCAATCACAGCAACTGAATCGTTCCTCCTTCCTAGGACACATCGCACGCACTGATTGACTGAGGACGACTGTCACGCCGTCTTCGTACTTCGTGAAATTTGAACAGTCCCGCCCTTTTCCCTTTACCTAAAACGAGTCTCTTCATTTTTGTCATATTTTGTAACTTCTCCCTCTCTGTGCCTCTACTGCTTCTTCAATCTTCTGAGCTCGTGTTCTTCACTATTCTTCGTCTTTCTGAAAGAGTTCGTGATCTGCTGTTTTTTGCTTCCATCTTCAGCTCTTGCTTCTTCATTTGGTTAGTATTGTACATCTTACTTTGTTTTTGTAATTTGTTTTCTGTGTTTTTGCAAAACATGTCTTTCCATTTCGCTTTGCTCTGTATTTTTCTGGAAAAACTCAACAATAGAACACATGCGTATATGTAATATCCTGTAGAAGACTAGTTTTTCGATCCAAAATCATGACGCAACCGAACTAGCATACTGTTTAAGCTAGGTAAAAGTCTAGTCAGCTTGCAACCGGACTAACACTTCATGTTTACACCAGTAGCTTTGAATAAGTCAAACCACTTCTTGATAGACCTTAGCCGAGGTAACCAACCGAACTAAGTTTGCACTTAATCATACTGAGATACCTGAACTCCAACCGATCTAGGCCTTTGGGGCTAAACCAGCTTTCTTAGTTTTTTAGATGGAACTCAAAAAGCTGCCCCTAGACAATCAACCAGTCAAACAGAACCGTTTCCACAACCGAGATATCTAGACGCTTGCCAAGCCCGAACTAATAAAGCCCTACTCAAACCGAACTACCAATCACCTTGCAGAAACCGAGATAAGACCTGTAGCATCCACATAGCCGAAATAGGGCTCCTATTTTTTACTTTTATTTTGTAGCACGGTCCAATGATCTATGCTTAACCCCTTTATTTTCTACTTTGCAGACTTAGGTTGCCCAGGCACTCCTCTGCGCGCTCAACCGAGCTACTGAGCACAATTTTTGGACCAAACTAATTTATTCGTAAATTATACAATAAATGGGGAAGTATAGGTATCTAGTTGAGACGCCAGGTGGTCTAGCCGAATTCCGAAGGGATTATGGCATACCTGACGATGTACACCTTACCCTGGCAGAAAAAGATGTCATACCCTGGGGGAATGAAGGCTTTATCCCCTTCACCCTCTTATCCATAATTGAGACCGGACTACGATTTCCAGTCCAACCCTTGATTTGTGAGTTTCTTAGGCAAACCAGACTATGTCCAACCCAACTGTCTACCAATTCATACCGTATAATAATGAGAATAGCCGAACTAAACCGCCAAGCCGGTCTCAACCTCGGTCTGGCCGAAATCTTCCACCAATACTCCATTGGTTCAAAAGAAGATGGGTGGGTCTACTATTTAAGAATACGTCGTCGCCGAGAGAAGATAATAAAATATATACCGAATAAAGACTTGAATGACGACGATTTTTTCTGGGTGTCTGGGAACTTTGAGGATCATCAAGCCCAAATTCCTGGCCGACGTATGAACTAGAAAAAAGGAGAACCCGGTATATTTACTTCGGTTTTCTTGCGTGCTTTACTATATTTCGATTTTTCAATCTTTCAGCCGAACTAACAGTTGTCTTCTTTCGCAGATTCTGCCCACCTCCATTCTCTATACAGCTACCCAAATCTAGCGACCTTGCGCGCCGCACTACGGTATCCAAAACGTAGTTGGGCCAAGCGGCTAAAGTTCGAGCCGACCTATAGATACAGCGGCCGCCGAAAAGCGAGGGTGACCGACTTTCTGCTAGAGGAGGCCCCAGAACCGGACCCAACCTTGCCAGAAATCAGATTAATCCCGCTGACCGCTGAAGAAGAAATGGCTAAAAGGAACAGAGTAAAGGCGCTTCTAACCGAAACTAACAGAGCCGAGGTACCACCACCAAGCCAATCGCAACAGACCGTTGTGGCTCTTCCTTCCCAACAGCCCTCAACATCTCGTGCGCACAAGCGTGCCCGGATTAGCCAAACCGAGCAACGCCTAGTCGACGAAGACGAGTCCATCCTTCCACCGAGCCCTCAACCCAGCCTTCAACCGAAGCAATCTGACCGAGCTGACTCCTCTAAATGGGCTCCAATTCTCACCTTTCAAAACCGAGATATCCAGGAAACTGAGTCGGTTGTTGCTGAGAAGGATCACTTGATGGCTTTCAATCTAGCCAAGAGTGTTTGCCTTCCAAAAGATATGGAGCACCACAACAAGCAACTAAACACCGAGCTGAAAGCCATCCGATCATCAACAAAATCAATGATCCTGGTAGGTGGCTCTCTGTTTTCTTTGTCTAACTTTTTCCCAACTGCTAGTCCGGCTAAAGAGAGTTATTATTTTGCAGGCCATTCAGAAAAACAACATTGCACATAGGAAAGTGTTGGAGCTCCGGAAAACAACGAGACAAGCAATGGCTGAAGCCGAAGCCAAGACTGCCGAACTAACACATTCTCAACAAAGGATGGCCGAGCTGGAGGCCGAGGTAACTCGTCTAACCGGACTAGTTGCCTCGGCTGACAGTGATAAACGGCGAGCTGTTACCGAAGTGAAGGACAAATATTTGTGGGAGATGGCACAGCTTGAGGGCGCTAAAGACGCCGAAATAACAGTTCTGAAGAAGAAGGCTGAAGACGCCGAGGTGAAGGGTTTCAAGGATGGCGAGGCTGCGTACATCCAACAGTGTGAAGTTGCGAAGGACTTGTTCTTCAAATGCGGCTGGAGGGGTGCTGTGGAGCAGCTCGGTTGTGGGCCTGACACCGATGTCTACAATGCTCCGCAGTATTTCATTCCAGCCTCACTGGCGGAGTATGCTGCCGACCTCCAGAAACAATTTCTTGAAGCGTCTGACGATGAAGAAGAAGATGAGCAAACTGAGACTCCGGTGGTCAACGCGGCTGTCAACGATCAATTAGCTCGGTTGGAGCCAGTAGTCGAAGACTTGACGACCGAAAATGTGCTTCCAATAGAGACCATGCTTCCAACTGAGACTGTTCGCCCCTCTGAAACCGG